AGCCAAATTTGAGATCAGTGTTTTTGATTGAGCTAACGGTGTTAGCCTCCCTCCGTTTGATGTTTTGCTTTAATTGGTGACGGCAGCATTTTTGCCCCCTCTTCCAGTTTTACTTGTTTTTTGTCCTATATTTTGGACGTAGCTGATGGGGTCGGCACCTTTGTTGACCCATTTGTTACCTTAATTGGTGACGGTAGTGTTCTCACCCCCTCTCCCAATTGTAGCCTGTTTTTTCTGCCTGCGGTTGGACCCAGCTCAGTTTCAAACATGGATGGCTCCCACAGTTGTGCCAATTGTGGGGCTTCGCTTCAGGCAGATGACGGTCACGACCTGTGCCCTGCCTGCCTTGGGCATGATCACCTGGTGGATGCTCTGTCTGAGAATGCCTGCATGAACTGCAGTTACATGCCCCGTGTTGTGAGGGTGATTCGGCTGGCCCAGTTGTACCCAGAGTTTGACAAGGACCTTCTGGGTATGTGGCCCCGCCTAGGCGCTCAAAGCACTGAAATTAGGCCACAGTATCTGTGGCTCCTTCTAAGAAGAGGCGAGCTGAGTCTTATCAGGGCTTTTCCACAAGGGTTGAGCAGTTATCTGCAGAATTGGCGGAAATGAAATCCCTAGAGAGTGGGACCCTAGAGCCTTTTCATGCCTCTCCACAGATGGTTGGGTGTTGGCGGCTATGCATGAGTCGGTCAAGGCAGGCTTGGATCGTATGCCAGCGGTTGAACCTGCTGTTGCCTCACTCGTGTCACCAGATGAAGCCCTGTGCCATGATGTTCGGTGTCCACGGGCACAATGTTGTGTTACAGATGACTTCTTTAAAGCTTATAATTGCGGAGCACATGCAGGCCACCTTGGCAATCCCTTGACCTACCTCATGTTTGCCCTCTCTTGTCCCTTCAGGACACTAGTGGTGCAACAACAACAATTGGCTTTAGTGATGCAGCGCTTCTGGCCTTTGCTCTGATGACCAGAGAGCTTGGGCACGTAACATCTTTTCTTGTTCAGGCTTGTTGACAGGTCTGGCTGGCACAGTCTACATTGACCAAAACATGCTGTAGGACCCTCTGTAGTGTTCCTGTGGTGCCAGGGGAGTTGTTTGGGTCAGCTGCCTGGGAAGCGCTGGAACGGACCATGGCAAACTAGACAACAGCTTTCAGGCCTCAGCAGGGGAATGTCCCCTCCACCTTCTCAGCATCCAAGGTGCATGTCGGCTGGCCCCAACATTTGGCCACTGCCTCGGGGTTGTGATCGGCCTGGTCTTTATCTTCATGCTATACAGCAGAGACTCAGCAGGGACTTTTGTGAGTCAGTCTGCCAACCAGCCAGTTAGTTCAGACTACAGACTCTGACCACCGCACCCCTCAGGGCCCCTAGGGGCTGTGGAGAAAGAAAGTACAGTAGTCTCTCGCTACTTCATGGTTCGTTTCGTTTATTGCAGAGTCGCTCTATCGCGGTTTTTCAAAATAAGATTGGTGGACATGACACACAATTGGCTGATTGGCTGGATGAGCTGCACGATCAGCATGGAATTATTTAAAATCAATTAATTTAAATTATTTAGCACCTTTGTGCAGCCCATACTACAGGATAAACTTCCTGCAGCAGCTGATCAGCTGTTATCTGTGCAGAGCAGAGAAGTGGGCGTGGTCAAGAACGCTTGCAGGTGGCAAAGAGCAGAGGAGGCAGGGAGCTGAAATCATGACATGTGCTTTTTTATAGCGTTTAGAGTTTAAAAACATTGTTTAGAATATTGCAAGAGTGTGGGAAGGGTTTAAAACACCTTAATATATAAATACTAAAATAAACTACTACGTACTTACACTACTATTCTTATTTTGCGGTTTTTCACTTATCGCAGAGTTTCAGTTTCTTTGTTGGTCTGCTGTATGGTAACAGTTCAGGGCTGCTAGTGTCAGAAGGATCGCTCCAAACATAAATATACTGGAGCTGCGTGCCGTGCATTTGGCTCAGGCACTTTCTACCCCACCTGGAGGGGAGACATGTTCTAGTTCGGCCAGACAACACCTTTGTTGTCTACCACGTCAACCATCAAGGTGGCACCAGGTCTGCGCAGCTTCTTAAGGTGACCAGAGAGCTACTGGAATATGCCTGTCCTCCCCTGTTCACCTTGGGCGTGGTGTACTTACCAGGGCAGCACAACCAGGTTGCAGACTCTCTTTCCCGCTGGGTGCCTGCTCCAGGAGAGTGGTCCCTTCACAGTGACTTAGTGCTCATGATCTGGGACCTCTTTGGTGTTTCAACTAAGAGGGTTGGCAAGCTACATGCTCTTTCTGTCAGCCCTTCATGTCTCAGATGGGGTCTTGATGGCTCTGGTGTAGGGCAGGGCCATATCATATCGTTCACGATAATACCAGTAAAAAAAGCTTGCCCGGGCAAAAAATTGATATCATGATATTCTAATTTCATGACGTAATACGTCAAGATGCTCCGCCCCCTTAACAGAACCGAGCGCGCCGAATGACCAAACCGAACTGTGCACCCCCCCTCCACCTGTCGGTACTAGTGTGACGCTAATTAGCTGCGTTTTAATACTAGCTAGCTAAAAAGCTAAAAACAAACAACGCACAGCTCAGCTGTCTCTCCGTCCAGCTCTAAACTGCAGGTACAGACAACTCAAATGTCTTTCCTTCCCCCCGCTCTAAACTGCCACTCGTCTTTCTTTTTTTCTCCCCACCCCGCTCTGAGCTGTCGGTGCGGGCTACGTCTCCCCCGCTCTAAACTGCCGGTACAAACATGCGCCGGTCTGTTTCTTAGTTCCACAGTCCATGGACCAAGAACAGAGTCATGTGATCAGAGACAGAGCATCAGAGAAATGAATCATTCCTGCAGGAACAGAGGAAGCTGAAACTCCACGAGCTTCAGGGTCAGATGATCACCTTGTTACAACTTCTGGAAGTTATAGCCCATTTAAAGAAACATATATTTTGTTGTATGTTACATTTATGATCAACAGATCTTAAGCTTCATTTTATTCTATTTAGTTATTTTGGGAAACTTCACCTGCACTTTAGTTTTTGTGGTGGATTTATTGATCTATTTGTGCAGACTGTTTCAATCTAAATAACAGAAGGATCATTTTTATTTTTTATTTTTATACTTGGAGACTGAATACTTTACTAAATAAAGTAATTTCAGTAAAATTACCCCTTGGTTTTTATTTTATTTTATATAATACTGCAAAACAACATGTTAAGTTAATTTTGTCAAATAAATAACTATGATTTCTTTTTTTTTTTTTAAATATCACAAAATTTATCGTTATTGTCAGAATGCTCTGAAATATCACGACATTATATTTGAACCATATCGCCCACACCTGCTCTGGTGTTACCTTGTGGCCAAACAACATTTGTACCTAAACTGTTATCTCATTCTCATTGTAACTAACCACTGAGATTGTCATGATTTCAGTTTACGTCAGGAGGGACTGATGGTAGGTCTGGGTTATTGCGCCCAGTGAGGGCACTGGAGGTATATACATGTACATTGCGTCTATTGCCGCTGTAACATGCTCAGACCAGCTGTTCTTGTATTATGGAGGACCTAGGTTAGGTTGTCCTCTTTCCAAGCAGCGTCTCTTCCATTGAATTGTGGGTATCATCTACCACACCTACACTGCAGGACGCTGCTCCTTGCTGGTCGATGTGAAGGCACACTACCAGGAGCGTCTCCGCTTCCTGGGCAGCTTTGAGAGGGAGGGGTTCCGCTGGAAGCAATAGGTGCTGCTGCATCATGAGCTTCCTGAACACGTTCACTAGCTTTTGCAATGTTAATGTGGCCACCCTTCATCCTCTGGGCCAGGTTCTTCTGCAAGGGTCCTCTGGGCCCCCTCAGTGAGGTATGTGATTCTTTGTGACATCGCTGGTATTAGTCATTCAGTGCTTTCAGCACCGCCCTCTGGCGGTCAGTAGGGATGAAATAGAACGCAAGTTATATATGTAACTATGGTTCTATGAATCCCAGATGACCGCCAGAGATTCTCTGTCACTCAGAATCCTTGCATTCTGTGAGAAGATTCTATACGAACAGGGCCTCGGATGACGTCAGGCTATATAGCCTCTGATTGATCATCCGATACATCACAGCTGTGACTCTGTTGGTATTACTACTCGAACAGCGCATGCACAAAGGGAACATTCCAACAGCCATTGGAGTCAGTCTCCCCACCATCACAGACATCTACACTCCAGATGCAGGAAGAGGGTACCCTGCATCATGAAGGACCACACTCACCCAGCACACACACTTTTTGCCCCACTCCCCTCAGGAAGGAGGTTGAGGAGCATTAAGTGTAGAACCACTAGACTGAGGAACAGCTTCTACCATGAGGCTGATAGACTCATGAATCTCTGACCAGAATAATCACTGTGAGGGAAAAATCACTGTAATGCCACTTTGATTGTTATGTGCTGCTGATTACCCAAGCTGCTGATCTCACGCTGCTGATTTATTTCATGCTGCTGTATTCATTTGTACTCATCCTCAGACTCATGTTCGTGCTGATGTTCGGCGTACTGTTTTGCACTATTAAGTGTTTAGCGTATTTCTTAGTTTATATCTTTGATCCTTAGTACTGTTTCTTACACTTTATATTTTTGCTATTGTTGGGTGTAACTGGGACCCTGTGTACACAATTTCGTTCCACCTCATGTACCACATGCGATGTGAATGACACTAAAGAACCTTGAACTTGAACATTCAGTTCTTTCAGCCCCGCCCTGTGGCGGTCATCCTGGATTCATAGCACCGTGGTTGCATACGTTACTTTCAATTTCCCTAAACTTTTAACTGTGCTTCACGGTTTTTAAATATATATTTTTTTCTTTCAGTTGTTAGTTGTTGAGAAACATGGCAGAACAAACCTGAACGTTTCTGTAAAACATTTTTAAAGTATATGTGTGTGTGTGTTTCGTGTGGATAACTTGGATCTTGTTTCTCTTTGTGTTTACCGGTAATCCTTTGAAATGTGTTTCCAGGGCAGCTACAGTGATCTGTACCCGGACTCTGACGACTCCAGTGAGGATCAGATCGAAAACAGCAAGAACAGCTGGAGCTGCAAGGTACATCACAGCACACTGCTGAAAACACAGCAGCAGGATGCAGGATTAACTATTTTCTTTTGACGTGTTGAATAAAAAATTCTCCTCAGTTTGTTTCATCTGGAGGTCTGCAGCTGCTCCTGGAAATCTTTAACTCGGGCATCCTGGAACCCAGAGATGAGGAGCCTTGGACTGTGGTGAGAGCCCATCAGAAACCTTCACACTTTTACTCGTCCGTCTCATTTTGTAGGATCAAATGTTAGTTGTGTGGGCGTACAGATTTATTTTATTTTTTCAGACGACTTACTTTTGCCAAGGCTGAATTAAAAAAGAAGTTATAAAAATTAAATGTGTCAGGCTCCAGTCTGGCATGAATAGTTGGAGTTAGATTCACCTTAAAGTTCTGGTAAAATGTTCATGCCAACTATTTAAAGAACATTGAATGAATGAAGAACATTATAGACAGCCCTCAGCATCCTCTTCATCAGACTGTCATACAACAACAGAGTGTCTTCAGTCAGAGGCTTCTTCAGATCTGCTGCAGGACAGAAGCTACAAGAGATCCTTCCTGCCCACAGCATCAGCATCTAGAATAACTCTTTAATGAAACCAGGATGATGAGTTACCCAACATATAATCTCCCTCTGGGATTAATGAAGTAGTTTTGAATTGAATTGAATTGAATTGAATAAAGATAAACCCTGCCATCCTCACCGACTGCGTTGGGGACTACATTTCGTCAACTTTCAGTTGTTTTCTGATCATCATCTTGTTTTTCTCTGTAGTGGCAGCTGGACTGCCTAGCGTGCCTGCTGAAGCTGATCTGCCAGTTTGCTGTGGACCCTGCAGATCTGGACCTGGCCTACCACGATGTCTTCTCCTGGTCTGGCCTCACAGACAGCCAACGCAAACGGGCTTGGCCCGGCAAGTCTCGCAAATCCACCGTGGAACACGGGAAGGGTTTGCACATCCCTCGCCTGACGGAGGTAAATAAGCTCATCGATTAAAAAGAGTCACCGTCGGCAGATCTGAAGCGTCTCCATGTGTCTTCACAGGTGTTCCTCGGCCTTGTCCAGGGCACCAACTTGATCCAGCGGCTCATCAACGTGGCCTACACCTACGACAACCTCACGCACAGGTGTGCTGAACAGGACACACAGATTTGTTTTTTTCTTTTTATCGTTTACATGTTTTTTATTTTGGTTTTGCAGAGTTCTAAAGGCTCAGTCCGATCATAAGTCTCGGCATGAAGGTGAGAACTTCAAAAAGGTTTAATACCCAGAAGCACTCTGTAAAGCAGAAAGAGTCCTGGTTGTGTCGGGTGAGTCTGCACGTTAACAGTGAGGTTTGTTTCCCTGCAGTGACGCACTACTCCATGTGGCTGCTGGTGAGCTGGGCTCACTGCTCGTCCACAGTGAAGTCCAGCCTGGCTGACAGTGACCACCTCCACGACTGGCTGAAGAAACTCACCCTGCTAGTACCTGAGGTGAGCCGTTCCCAACACCTACAGCTCCCAGTTCAACCAAGCGCCCTGAGTTTAAACCTGTGGCGGTGTTGAGATTAATAAAGTAATTTGTTGTATTCAGTGATGGACAGCTCATTACTTTCTACTGCCAACTGGTTACCTTCTGGAGTTATTTCAAGTCAAGATGGTCGCCACAGCTAATCCACTTCAGTGAACACATGTCTATAATGCCATTGAGCCTGTATTTTATTATTTTATGTTCTTGACCTGAAAACAAAGTCTTAAAAAAGGCGAAACATCTGTTGACTGTTCCACCAGAGTCGTGTGTGAACTGGAACATGAATCTGTTTTTGTTCATGGTCTTGTTTCAGCCAGCGGTGAGGCACGAGGCGTGCAACAGCCTCTACAAGCTTTCTCTCTCTGGGCTGGAGGGTGGAGACGCCATCAACAGGTCCTTCTTGCTGCTTGCCGCCTCCACACTGCTCAAGTTCCTGCCTGACGCTCAGGCCCTCAAACCTCTGAGGGTGGGTCTCACACCCCACACGCTCACGCTGACCTTTTTCAAGATAAATGCATGTTTGCAAGCTGTCAGTCAGGATAATGATGGGACTCAGTTTGAGCTTTGCTAGACTGAATCCAGTATGCATCCATGAGACGTTGTCCCTGCAGTAGAATTACTGTAATTCTTGTGCTGTAGAACTCACCTACTGTAAGTCGCACATACTAAATATAAGATAAATCATAATTTTGTACATAAAATAAGACACTCTGGTTATTAAGCCACAGTCATCCACCGTTAATCATCAGGATCTGTGCCCAGCCAGTTCCGGTATAATGTGCAGCTTTCTTCTTGTAGTACAAGAATCAGCCACCGGAGGGCGTTTCACAAATACAGCGAGCTTTCAACACGCTCGGACTGTACGATCGTCAGAAGTCTTCATGAAGCTTCGCTTCAACCTACAGAATGAACACGAGAACTATCGAAGCACAATCTGGACAGAGCGGTGCCAAACACCTATGTAACTGAAAATATTAAAAAAATTATTTACTGGTAAATATTACACTGAAGTCTTATCGAGGTCATGTGACCGGAAGTCAAATAGTACCGGTAAAATACTGTAAATATTCATTAAATTAGTACAGTTGATTTGTATTGTTCAACACTTTTGGTAACAGCTGCTGTTTTTAAATGTACTTTCTAAATCAATGTGACGTGATTTCTGCACAGCGGCGCTCACGGGAGAAGACGGGGGAGGGGGAAGAGCCCCCCGCCCGCCCGTTGTCTCCTCCGGTCCGTTTCATGCGTTTGGATGCGAGTTGAAAGTGAGATTCTGGTATTTAAACACACATTCACCGTGCACAGAAAGATGTCGCACAGAAAGAATGTATTGAAACACGTGCCAGACTTGAGTGCTGTGCGTCTCCTGACCATCATCTCTTCGACGCAGAAGCTGTTTCCTTCTTCGACCTCCAGATCGATCGCTTTTCACTTGAAAGCTGCATCATAAGAAATTCTCCGTGCGTTTCCATTATTGCTGAACAAGTGAACGCTCTGTGCATGAAGTGTAAAATACAGTAACTGATCAGAAGAATTTAGTGCGAGTGCATAACATTTACTGTGTTTACTGTAAACGGGCAGCCTCGTGCACGTCTATCTTGGGGGATGGGTCAATGACAGTATCTCATGTTGGACATCTGGTCACATGAGTGTGATGAGTGGGTGGAGTTATGGGTAGGAAATTTGAAACCCTGAGCGAAAGGCTTGGTGCACGTGGTTACCAGAGGCATTCACATTCGGGGGGGAGGGGGGGGGCTGGGCAGCCATATGAGCGCCCAGTTGTCAAAATAAAATGTTAGTCAGGAAGCTGCTGAGAAGCAGGAAGCCTGTCAAAATAAAATATAAAAATATACATTTTTTAAACGATGAAAAAAAGCCGCTCCTGCATATAAACCGCGGGGTACAAAGTGTGAGACAAAAGTAGCAGCTTCTACACCGGCAATTATGGTAATGTCTACTGGGACATAAAAAGTGACGACGAGTGGGTCTGCAGCAGCTGTAACGTGTCATCTCTTCCTCAGGAATCTAATCATCATGATGTTTTGCAGATGGAGGACTATGAAGAGGAGCCTTTGTTGAGGACCGGCTGTAAGGAATACTTCTGGCTGCTCTGTAAACTCATCGACAACATCCATGTTAAAGATGCCTGCCAGGTGGGAACGCCACACGCCGTTCTCCTGATGAGTAGCAAAGTTCTCAAATGGACTTTGTTGAGCCATGTGCTCCATGTTTCTGTTTTGAACTGCTGCTAGTGTTGGTCTGTTTGAACTCACAGAAGGTCTCTCCCTCTCTGACTGGCTCGATGCAGACCACCCTGCTGGACCTCGACGCTCTAGCTCGACACCTCGCCGACTGCATCCGGAGGTCAGACATTCATTACCGTGTAACTTTCTTGGTGAGTAATGATGAGTTGTAGAGTAATCCTGCGTTTCTTGTCTGTTCCTTTGTAGTCGAGAGATCTTGGATCAGCAGGACGGGATCATAGAGGATGACGGGCTGACTGGCCTCCTGCGTCTCGCCACCAGCGTGCTCAAACACAAACCTCCGTTTAAGTTCTCCCGTGAGGGGCAGGAGTTTCTGCGGGACGTCTACAACCTGCTCTTCCTCCTCCCAAGCCTGGCCGACCGCACGCAGCCCAAGTGCAAGTCCCACTCTGCCCGGGCGGCTGCCTACGACCTGCTGGTGGAGATGGTGAAGGGCTCGGTGGAGAACTACCGGCTGCTCCACAACTGGGTCATGTCCCAGCACATGCAGTGTGAGGATGCTGAATTTCTTACTGTTTGGTTCATTTTCAATGAACACGATTCACTTTCATTCAGTTTTAGAATAGAGACCAGTTGTGTAGGAATCTGTGTCAATAGTCTGCAAAGACAGTGATCTGACTCGGTTTGAGCTTCGCTACAGTGAATCCAGTCGGCCTCTCATTAAGCTTGTCCCACAGTTGGCACGGATGCTTGAGAGACTCAGATCTCACAGTAACTAAATGTTCACTAAAACATCACCAAAAGTTCTAGAATGATAATAGAAAATAGTTTCCTAACAGAGCAGAAAGAATGATTTGAGGTAAAATTGCACAGAACAGGCAATGAGTACTAAATTATCATTTGATGCTGTCCATCAGCCTCTCACGCTCCGTACAAGTGGGACTATTGGCCCCACGATGATGTCCGAGCTGAGTGCCGCTTCGTGGGTCTGACCAATCTGGGAGCAACCTGCTACTTGGCCTCCACCATCCAGCAGCTCTACATGATCCCTGAGGCCCGGCAGGCCGTCTTCACAGCTAAGGTCATTGGCCACAACTCAGCATGTACTCAGAGGGTGTCAGTAGGTAAACACGTTTAATCTAAAGAGCAGGTCTTTATCCAGCGGGTGTTTCTGTGTGTGCAGTACTCTGAAGAGATCAAACACAAGACCACTCTCCTGGAGCTGCAGAAGATGTTCACGTATCTCATGGTAAGTTTTATCTCTGAAGAGTTTGTGCAGTGTATGTCAGAGGTCGCAGGATCCAAGTCTATTCCTCATGTTGTACAGCAAGCTTCCTTTGTGTGATTCTTGTCAAAAATGGGGAATATTTTCCCTGAAACCATCAAAACTCTTCTCTCAGACAATAGACAGTGGAAAACAAGACAACACAGATGAAAGGCAGCAGTTGGAGGAGAAAAGAGCCGGGAGTGTTGATACTTCTGACTCAGTGTTTTGGTGAGGAATTAGATTAGCTCTGCTGAAGCCCTGCTGGGTCCCAGTTACATCCAACAATAAAATGTAAAATAAAATCAGTAATAAGATCTAAGATATGAACTAATAAAAACATCAACTAAATATACACTAAGCACTGACAGCATAAAAACATTACATCGAACAGCAGCATGAACATGAGTCTGTGTGAGCAGATGAGCACGCATGAACACATCAACATTGAAATAGATCAGCAGCAGCATGAACATGAGTCTGTGTGAGCAGATGAGCACGCATGAACACAGCAACATTGAAATAGATCAGCAGCAACATGAAACGGATCAGCAGCAGCATGAAACGGATCATCAGCAGCAGCATGAAACGGATCAGCAGCAACATGATGTGATTTTTCACAGTGATTCTCCTGGTTAGAGATTCATGAGTCTAACAGCCTCAGGGTAGAAGCTGTTCCTCAGTCTAGTGGTTCTACACTTAATGCTCCTTAACCTCCTTCCTGAGGGGAGTGGGGCAAAAAGTGTGTGTGCTGGGTGAGTGTGGTCCTTCATGATGCAGGTGGCCCTCTTCCTGCATCTGGAGGTGTAGATGTCTGTGATGGTGGGGAGACTGATTCCAACATCTTCTGTGCAGCCTTCACCACTCTCTGCAAAGCTTTTCTTTCTGCAGCTGTGCAGCCTCCATGCCACACGTTGATGCTGGAGCACAGGATGCTCTCCACTGCACACCTGTAGAAGGAGGTGAGGACTGAGCTTCCAGACCAGCTCGCCTCAGCCGTCTGAGGAAGTAGAGTCTCTGATGAGCTTTCTTCATCAGGCTGGTGGTGTTGTTGCTCCAGCTGAGGTTGTTGTTCATGTGTACACCCAAGTACTTGTAGCTGGAGACCACTTCCACCGCAGATCCTCTTATGTCCAGGGGGGTGTAGGTGTGTTTGTTCCTTCTGAAGTCCACAATCATCTCCTTTGTCTTCTTCACATTGATGTGAAGGTTATTCTCTTTGCACCAGCTCTCCAGGTGTTCCACCTCCTGCCTGTAGCTGGACTCATCATTGTTTGTGATGCATCCCACCACCGCTGTATCATCTGCAAACTTTACAATGTGACAGTCTGGATGGGTAGCTGCACAATCATATGTGAGCAGAGTAAACAGGAGGGGGCTCAACACACATCCCTGAGGAGAGCCAGAGCTGAGAGTTATGGTGGAGGAGGAGAAGTTGTGGATCCTCACTAACTGTGGTCTGTTTGTTAAGAAGTTTAGTACCCAGTTGCGAATGGAGGGGCTTAGTCCTAGTGTGGATAGTTTGTCCATCAGGGTTTGGGGGATCATGGTGTTGAAGGCGGATGTGAAGTCCACAAAGAGCATACGGACGTAAGAGTTTTTCTGCTCCAGGTGGTTGAGCGCAGTGTGGACCACAGAGGAGATGGCATCCTCTGTTGATCGGTTCTCACGGTATGCGTACTGATGAGGGTCCTCGTTGATGTTGATGGTTGTTTTGATGCGAGTCATGACCAGTTTTTTGAAGCATTTAGCGACTATCGGGGTGAGGGCCACTGGCCAATAGTCATTCAGACCAGTCACTGTAGAGCTTTTTGGGACTGGGATGATGGTGGGAGTCTTCAGGCAGGTGGGACCTGTCTCTAGGGTAAGTGAGGTGTTAAAGATGTCTGCCAGCACCTCACAGAGCTGATCAGCACATTCCTTCAACACTTTTCCGGGGATGTTGTCTGGGCCAGTTGCTTTGTGCGGATTAATCCTCCTGAAGGTACTCCTTACTTCTGCTGAGGTCACGCTGAGATGCTCTTCATCCGGTGGTGAGGTGAGTCTGGTGCTGGGTGGTCTGTTTGGGTCTTCAAAGCGTGCATAGAACTTGTTGAGGGCATCAGGCAGAGATGGGTCTTTGGGGCATTGTTCGCTCCTTCCTTTATAATCTGTTATGCACTTAATGCCCCTCCACATGCTCCGAGAATAATAATCTGTGCTAACTGTATATAACTGTACACAGTACAGCTGTATGTCAGAGGTGGCATCACTGCTCTTGGTATTTCTTTCTGTGTTCAGGAGAGTGAGCGGAAGGCATACAACCCTCGACCATTTTGTAAAACCTATACGATGGACAAACAGCCTCTCAACACGGGCGAACAGAAAGACATGACTGAGTTTTTCACCGACCTCATCACGAAGATAGAAGAGATGTCCCAGGATCTGGTAAACTCATCTCATTGTTACAAATACTCTTCAGGATTATCTGATCGGTTTCTACAACGCACAACAACAAAAAAGTAAATCAGGGCCATTCTTATCTGCACAAAATCAACTTTCATGTTTGGCGCCGTTGATTTTCTTAAACTTTAAATCTCATTATTGGAGAAAGATTTTAATCATCATTAATGATTTATTGAAGTTGTCTTTATTTGTTTCTCCAGAAAAACACAGTAAAGACTTTGTTTGGAGGCGTCATCACCAACAACGTTGTTTCTCTGGTGAGTACACAAGACCTAACTGGCTTAAAGTTTTAATTAATTAGTTAATTAATTGATTAGTTGTTTGGAGACTTGTTACGATTGGATCTTTGCCACTGTCTCAACTCTCATGAGTTCTGGACCACACCGCACCAGTTAAGGGCCTGCCCAATTCAATTTATTTATATAGCAACAATTAGGGCTGCAACTAACGACTATTTCAATAATCGATTAATCAGCCGATTATTTTCCTATTAATTGATGAATCAGCAAAAAAAAAAAAGTATGTATGTTTTAATTTCCACCCCTTTATTCCAAAATTGAACATTTGACTGACATAGCAATTCGCACAAAAACAGGTTGCTACTTGACTATTCTGTTAGTAAAATATTGAATAATAAAAAATAAAAGTCAAATAGCTTAAAAAATAAATGTACACAAAAATATATACAAATGTATCTTTATACCTGCACAATATGTAGCTACTTTGTAAAATGTGTCCTTGAGGGAAGAGTGTAACCTGGATTAAAAGTGTGGATTATTGTAATCTGGATTAAAAGTGTGGATCATTGTAACCTGGATTAAAAGTGTGGATTATTGTAACCTGGATTAAAAGTGTGGATTATTGTAGTGAAGCCTTCGTCTTCAACCATGGACAGAGGCCTCATGTCAGTGAAGATCATGTTCAGGATGTTTCAGTGAAGACAGCTGCTGCTGTGGTGTCCATGATGTCTGTCCATCATGAAGTGTTGTTGTTGTTGTTGTTTTCTGGAATGAGAGAGTAAATATGTATTATAATTTACAGCAACTCAAGAAATGCCTTGTTTCACTTACAGTGTTAGGTTCAGGCAAAAGTAGCTTGAAGAGCAATTACACACACACACACACACACACACATATATATATATAAAAATACTTAATTACACACATTTGAGTAGATGTAATAAATTACTTTAATTCCTGTTTAAATGCAATTCACCCTGCCATACCTGCAGTGTCTTCAGACTTTGCCAGCAAATTAAAAGTTGAAGCTTAAACATTAAATTATTATCTTTGTGTTAGATTTATTTATAAATCACATTTAAACTCTGCTTGTACCAATTAAATTAAATAAAAAGTAACACACACGTTCTCTATCACCATCATTAATCAACAAACAAATAAACAAACAAACAAGCAGCTTCATCTTCAGACAGACTGACGTTACGTTTTCTCTCTTGGAAACCGAACAATGTGTTAAATTGTAGAGACTCACCTGCAACACATGAAGAGTTGTATCAGCTGCAGCTCCTTCCTCCTCCTCGTGACTCCGACATGTTTACGTTTTATCTCCGTGATTCTCCCGTGTCGTGTCGTCACTTTTCAAAGCTGCATGTTTCTCAGTTTTTATCTTTGTGAAGTTCTCCCACACTTTGGAGGACTTGGGTCGAACAGTTTTCTCTGCGTTTGTCATTTGTAAAATGTATTAATTTCCTTTGAAAACAGACTCTGCTCTGTTTCTATCTCCCCCCTCGCTCTGTTCAACTCGCGCTGCATAGTTTTATTTTTTATTTTTCCAAACTTTATTCAGTCAGTCAGCATTGACAATGAACTGCAGGTGACCAAAATGGCTCCGCAGCGCCGTGAAAGACGAATAATCGCGTGACACAAAAAATTGATAATGAAATTCGTTGCCAACACTTTTAATCATGGATTTTTATCGATTCGTTGTTGCAGCCCTAGTGACAACAAAGTTGTCTCAGGGACTTTACAGGAACATTCACATAAAAGCCAGTTAGTAAAGTTCTCTATCTAAGGAATCCAGCAGACAAGTTGAATCTTGGCTTCGTTGCAGTCTCCCATCCTGAGCAAGCACAGTGGAGACAGTGGAAAGAAAAACTCCCTTTAACAGGAAGAAACCTCCAGCAGAACCAGCTCAGGACAAGAGACCATCTGCTTTGACAGGCTGGTTGAGAGGACAGGAAGGAGAGACAAACAGAATATCAGGTCCAGGTGAACTTTCTGTTGGAAGAAAGACAAATAAACATGTCAAGGACATAAATAATTACAAATAAAAACAAGTAGAGTAGAGCGCTACAGACAGCAGCAGAGTGAGGAAATGTGGTCAGTTTGTCCTCCAGCAGTCTAAGCCTATAACTAAAGGACAGCTCAGGAAACCCAAGCTGACCCTAACTATAGGATTTATCAAAAAGGAAAGTCTTAATCCCAGTCTTAAAACTGGATAATGTGTCAGCCTCACGGACAGAAACTGGAAGTTGGTTCTACAAGAGAGGAGCCTGAGAACTGAAAGATCTGCCTCCCATTCTGTTTTTGGAAACTCTAGGAACCACAAGTAAACCTGCAGTCTGAGAGTGAAGTGTTCTGTTAGGAAAATATGGAACAATAAGATCTGTAATATAAGATGGAGCTAGGTTGTTGAGAGCTTTGTAGGTTAGAAGTAAGATTTTGAATTCTATTCTGGATTTGACAGGGAGCCAATGGAGAGAAGCTAAAACTGGAGAGATATGATCTCTCCCAGTAACTCCAGTTAAGATTCTGGAAGCAGCATTTTGGATCGACTGAAGTGTTACAACCAGCAAAAGGCTCGCTGCACCAGGTTGTAATTGGGGGTGGGCGTTTCCACCCTCTGCACACCTCAAGCAGCCACAGAGTCAAATGAAAAGGTTAACAGTGTTTATTTACAAGGTGAATGAATGATGATATATTTACAGAGGAGTCTTACCAGACTTCAGGGTGAGCCTCAGGCCAAAAATAATAAACTAAACAAACTACTTTTATTTTTATTTTTGTCACTTACCTAACAAATCAAAAGTAACCAACATACAGGTCTCTTACCTGACCTAAACTAACAAAACCAGGGGAAAAAGCTCTTAACTAAAATGGCAGCTCACTCCTACAAGAACTCCTTACAAAACTATGTTAATTGATAAAATGATGAACAGCAGGTCAGCTGTGGCTGGTTGGGACATGCAGAGTAGATGAAAACCCAACGTCATCTCCAACTCAGCTCCTCTTATGCAGCACCTCCAGGCAGGCAGCCGATCACAGCTCCATTCAGCAGTGTCTTCCTCCAGCCGCACACCTGGACACTAATTGGCACAATTAGGGTTTTTCACACTCACACACATACAACTTACGACAGCAGTCATAACACCCTCCCTCTTAAAAAAATCAAACATCCAAAATGTTTAATTACTTTAGTCCATTTACAGAAACAACAAAACAACAAAAATTTACACAGCTCAAGACAATGTGTCAGCTATCACATTTTCTTTACCCTTTTTGTAACTGATTTCAAGATGTTGTCCTGCAGCGGTTTTCCTCCTGGTCGTGGAACACTGGACCAGCTCTACACTCTCAGCAGGGTCCTGGAGGGTGCGTGGGAGTTTGCCCAACCAGTCTACATGTGCTTTGTGGACTTGGAGAAGGCGTTCGACCGCGTCCCTCGGGGAAGCCTATGGGGGGTACTCTGGGCGTATGGGGTACCAGGCCCTTTGATACGGGCTGTTAGGTCCCTGTATGACCGGTGTCAGAGCCTGGTCCGCATTGCCGGCAGTAAGTTGGGCTTGTTCCCATTGAGAGTTGGACTCCGCCAAGTTGCCCTTTGTTACCGATTCTGTTCATAACTTTTATACACAGAATTTCTAGGTGCAGCCAAGGTGTTGAGGGGATCTGTTTTGGTGGCTTTAGGATTGCGTCTCAGCTTTTTGCAGATGATGTGGTCCTATTGGCTTCATCAGATCATGATCTACAGCTTTCGCGGAGCGGTTCGCAGCTGAGTGCGACACGGCCGGGATGAAGAGCAGTTCCTCCAAATCCGAGGCCATGGTCTTGAGCCGGAAAAGGGTAGAGTGCCCTCTCCGGGTCAGGGAGGAGGTCCTGCCCCAAGTGGAGGAGTTCAAGTATCTTGGGGTCTTGTTCACGAATGAGGGAAAAATGGAGCGTGAGATCGATAGGCGGATAGGTGCAGTGCCTGCAGTGAAGCGGGCACTGTACAGGGCTGTCGTGGTGAAGAGAGAGCTGAGTCAAAAGGCGAAGCTCTCAATTTACCGATCGATCTACGTTCCTACCCTCATCTATGTTCATGAGCTTTGGGTTGTGACCGAAAGAACGAGATCTCGGATACAAGCGGCTGAAATGAGTTTTCTCCGCAGGGTGTCTGGGCTCTCCCTTAGAGACAGGGTGAGAAACTCGATCATCCGGGAGGGACTCAGAGTAGAGCCGCTGCTTCTCCACATCGAGAGGAGCCAGTTGAGGTGGCTCGGGCATCTGGTTAGGATGCCTCCTGGACGCCTCCCTGGTGAGGTGTTCTGGACACGTCCCACCGGGAGGAGACCCAGAGGAAGACCCAGGACATGCTGGAGGGACTATGTTTCTTGGCTGGCCTGGGAAGGCCTTGAGAGTCCCCGGGAGGAGCTGGACTAAGTGGCTGGGGAGAGGGAAGTCTGGGCCTCCCTACTTAGGCTGCTACCCCCGTAATGAGAGTGCTTACTTTTCTATGGTGCTGTAATTTAACTGGTGTTTATTGAGTTTTTATTGAGTTTTTTTAAAGTAACAAACAAAAGTTACGTATGTAACTACGGTTCTATGTATCCCGGATGACCGCCAGAGTGCGGTGCTGAAATTACTGAATGCTGCCTTCGCGCATGCGCTGTTCGAGTAATAATACCAACGGAGTCACAGGTGTGACACGGATTACCAATCAGAGGATATATAGCCCGACGTCATCCGCAGTTCTGCTCCTACAGAATCTTCTTGTGGAATGCAAAGATTCCGAGTGACAGAGAAGCTCTGGCAGTCATCTGGGATTTTTAGAACCATAGTTACATACGTAACTTTCATTCTATTTCATCCCTCCTGACCGCCAGAGGATGGTGCTGAAAGCACTGAATTACTAATACCAACAATGTCACAAAGAATCCTAAACACCCACCTCACTGAGGAGGCCCAGAGGACTCTTGTAGGAGAACCTGGCCCAGGGGATGAGGGGTGGCCACGTTAACTCTATAAAATCTGGTAAAAGTGCTTGGGGAAGCCCATGATGCAGCAGCACATATTGCTTCCAGCAGAACAAACGAGACAAACGACCATTCACTGTCTCTCTCACCTCGGGACAATTTAGAGTTACCATCAGCCTTACATGCATGTTTTTGGTCTGTGGGAGGAAACCGGAGTACCTGGAGAAAACCCACACATGCACAGAGAGAACATGCAAACTCCACCCCGGCCGGGATTTGAACCAACGCCCCTCTCGCTGAGAGGCAACAACTCTACCGACTTCTCCACCGTGTCGCAAAATTACAAACATTTGCGATTCAAATCCTTTAGTGACGGGAGACATCGGTGTACCGCTTGTTATCTGCTCTCTGTTGTTGGTTTAAGGTGTACCATAATTATCTATAGTAATCTATAGAAAACACTCGACTGTAAGCCACACTAAATAAAAAAACAGTTCTGTACATAAACAAGACACGCCAGTGTTTAAGCCACCTGTGTCCACGTTTCATTATCAGAATCTGTGCAAAAGCTCCTGGCACTATGAGCAGCTCCTGTTGCAGTTTAAGAATCAACCACTGGAGGGCGTTTCATAGACTATGGGTTGCTTTCAACACGCATGCAGACGGCGTGATCGTCACAGGTCTTCATGATGCTTCACTGTCTGACTCGTGGTTAAAACCATTCAAACTACAGAATGAATACCAGAACTACCTAAGCATAATACAGTACCAGTTCACTGGTCAGAACAGTGATAAACACCAACGTAACTGAAATCATTTAAAACTACACTGGTAATGTTACCCACAATCCTTATCGAGGTCATGTGACCGGAAGTCACATAGTACCGGTAAATATTTATTAAATAAGTACCACTGACTTTTGTTAAACTCTTTTGGTAACAGCTTGTGTTTTTCAAACTTCATAAAAGTGAAGAAGGTAAAATAAAAACTGAGCTCTGTTTTATCAACCAGTTAACTGTAACTAAATCTGTGTTTTGTGTTTTCTTCAGGATTGTGACCATGTCAGTCAGACTGCAGAGGAGTTTTACACGGTCAGGTGTCAAGTGGCAGATATGAAAAACATCTATGTATGAGACCCGCCAATCTTCAGCAGAGTCCAAATGAAGGCCACTTGTCAGGGTCACATCCTGTTTTTATTGTTTCTTCAGGAATCTCTGGACGAGGTGACCATCAAAGACACTCTGGAGGGTGACAATATGTACACGTGTTCACAGTGCGGCAAGAAGGTCCGAGCAGAGAAAAGGTGGGAACAAATCCAAACTGTTGAAATAAAAAACGACTGAAAACAAGAACCTCCTGTGACATCAGCCTAATGGATCATCATCTTTACACAGAGCTTGTTTCAAGAAACTGCCGCGCATCCTGAGCTTCAACACCATGAGGTACACCTTCAACATGGTGACCATGATGAAGGAGAAGGTGAACACTCACTTCTCCTTCCCCCTGCGCCTCGACATGACGCCGTACACCGAGGACTTCCTCATGGGCAAAGTAGAGCGCAAAGAGGGTTAGTCTCATCAGCCTAACATTCAGCTGTGATCTTTCTGAACAAGTCCTGCTTTCATGGTGAAGAAAATGCCTACAGTTGGTCATTGGAGTAATCGGCCTCTGGCTTTAGGTTTTCGTGAAGAAGAAGTGACCATCACTGGGAGCTATGAATACGACCTCATCGGCGTCACCGTTCACACGGGCACAGCAGATGGCGGCCATTACTACAGCTTCATCAGGGACATCGTCAACCCCCACGCTTACAAGAACAACAAGTGGTGAGAGCAGACATGTTGGCCTGTAGCACCGAGCAGCTTTCAGGGCTCCTGCACATCGTGAGTCTTCAGGTTCCTCTTCAGCTCTCTGACGTGAAGCTGTGTGTAAAACCTGCAGGTATCTGTTCAACGACGCAGAGGTGAAACCCTTCGACTCGGCACAGCTCGCCTCCGAGTGTTTTGGTGGAGAGATGACGGTATGAGCTGCAGGCGCATAAAACATGCTCTTTTCCATCTTTCAAACGTAACTTTGTATTTATTTTTTAGACCAAAACGTATGACTCCGTCACGGACAAGTTCATGGACTTCTCCTTTGAGAAGGTGAGGAGAATTTCCAGAACATTTTAGTTTTTAAGGCACTTTGTGGGTTGAGATGGGAGCACTGACATGTTGATGGACCTGCAGACACACAGTGCCTACATGCTCTTCTACAAGAGAGTGGAGCTGGAGGAGGAGAATGAGAAGGACTTCACTTTTGATGTCTCTCCTGATCTGCTTGAGGTATTGAGGGTCTTTTTTTTTCCTTTGGCCCAAAGTTGGCACGCCTTAGCATGTGAAATATCCCCATTTGTCTGTTTCAGTGGATTTGGCATGACAACATGCAGTTTCTACAAGACAAAAACATATTTGAACACACTTATTTTGGGTGAGTATGGGAGTTTTTGTGTCTGATGGGATGAAGCCCAGCTTGAATTTAAAACAGTGACTCGCACCTTCATTGTTTCATAACTTACCTGGACACGTTTTCAGGTTCATGTGGCAGCTATGTAGCAGCATCCCCAGCACCTTACCAGACCCCAAAGCAGTCTCCCTCATGACCGCCAAGGTAAGAAACTATACTGGAACAAGTACCGTAATTTCCAGACTATCGAGCACACCCGAATATTGGCCACGCCCACTTAAAAAAATAATAATTTGTACATTCAGTCCCCTCCAAAAGTATTGGAACAGCAAGGACAATTCCTTTGTTTTTGTTCTACACTGACAACATTTGGATTTAAGATCAAAAGATGAGCATGAGACAAGAGCTCAGAATGTCAGCTTTTATTTCCTGGTAGATGTTACACAACTCAGGACATGCCACCCTTAGTTTGAACCCACCCATTTTAAACTACTGGAACACGTGACTGACAGATGTTTCTTGTTGCCCAGGTGTTGCCTTTAACGTTGGTTGTTCAAACATTAAATAGCTCTGCACAACTAGTCTACTTGTTGGCCTGTGTTTAAACCTGTGAAGTAGGTATTTCTTGTTGAAGTTCATACACCAACATGAAGACCAGAAGCTGTCTATGGGAGAACAGGAAGCCATTCTGAAGCTGAGAAAAGAAGGAAAATCAACCGGAGCCATTGGACAAACATTGGGCATAGCAAGCACAACAATTTGGAATGTCCTGAACAAGAAAAAAATCTACTGGTGTACTGAGCAGCAGACGTCGAGCAGGTCGGCCAAGGAAAACAACAGTAGTTGATGACAGAAGTATTGAGAGAGCTGTGAAGAAAAACCCTGAAATATCAGTAAGTGACATCACCAACGATCTCCACAGTGCAGGGATGAAGGTATCATCATCCACTGTTCGAAGAAGACTCAGAGAGCAGAAATATAGAGGCCATAGCCAAAGACTCATCAGTAGTAAGAATCAGAAGGCCCGATTGAAATTTACAAAGAAGTACAGAGATGAGCCACAAAAGTTTTGGAACACAATCTTATGAACTGATGAGACCAAGATCAGTCTCTACTGAAGTGATGGAAAGGCCAAAGTATGGAGAAAGAAAGGAACTGCGTATGCTCCAAAGCACTCAAGCTCATCTGTGAAGCATGGTGGAGGTGATGTCATGGCTTGGGCATGCATGGCTGCTTCTGGAACAGGCTCATTAATATTTATTGATGATGTAACTGATGATGACAGCAGCAGAATGAATTCTGAAGTGTACAGGAACAGGTTTTTTTCTGCCAGTTTAGGGAGAAATGTCTCCAAACTAATCGGGAGGAATTTTATCCTGCAGCAGAGCAATGACCCAAAGCACCGCCAACAAGAACCATTTGACTTGAAGCACGAGTCACACTGATGTCGAGTGGCTGCAAATACTTAGTTGTGCCATTACATCTCCCCTCCCCACAACAGGGACAGGGAAACCAAGTTTGCCCCCCCCACCCACCCACTGTGAGTTGTTCAGTAATTTAATTGGTCAGATTTTATTTTATTTATTTATTTTTTTAATTTATGCATTTAGTCTCGTTGAGTCATGAGGACCCACCCCCCAAGAGAGACGTGTATTAGGCCGCTGTGTGAGCGCCCGGATGTGACGAGGCTAAATGTTTTGGCCGCATGAAACTCGTTAGGCCGTAAATTATTCAAGGATTCAAGGTTCTTTATTTGTCATTCGCACCCCATGTGGTACATGTGGTGGAACAAAACTATGTACACAAGGTCCCAGTTACATCCAACAATAAAATGTATAAGAAAAACAGTAATAACATCTAAGATATGAACTAAGAAAAACATCAACTAAATATACACTAAGCACTCATAACATAAAACATTGAACATCAGCACAAACATGAACATGAGTCTGTGAGCAGATGAGCACACATGAACACATCAACATTGAAACAGATCAGCAGCAACATTGAAACAAATCAGCAGCAACATTGAAACAGATCAGCAGCAACATTGAAACAGATCAGCAGCAACATTGAAACAGATCAGCAGCAACATGAAACAGATCAGCAGCAACATTGAAACAGATCAGCAGCAACATTGAAACAGATCAGCAGCAACATTGAAACAGATCAGCAGCAACATGAAACAGATCAGCAGCAACATGATGTGATTATTCTAGTTAGAGATTCATGAGTCTAACAGCCTCAGGGTAGAAACTGTTCCTCAGTCTAGTGGTTCTACACTTAATGCTCCTCAACCTCCTTCCTGAGGGGAGCGGGACAAAAAGTGTGTGTGCTGGGTGAGTGAGGTCCTTCATGATGCAGGTGGCCCTCTTCCTGCATTTGGAGATGTAGATGTCTGTGATGGTGGGGAGACTGACTCCAACATCTTCTGTGCAGCCTTCACCACTCTCTGCAAAGCTTTTCTTTCTGCAGCTGTGCAGCCTCCATGCCACACGTTGATGCTGGAGCACAGGATGCTCTCCACTGCACACCTGTAGAAGGAGGTGAGGACTGAGCTTCCAGACCAGCTCGTCTCAGCCGCCTGAGGAAGTAGAGTCTCTGATGAGCTTTCTTCATCAGGCTGGTGGTGTTGTTGCTCCAGCTGAGGTTGTTGTTCAGGTGTACACCCAAGTACTTGTAGCTGGAGACCACTTCCACCGCAGATCCTCTTATGTTCAGGGGGGTGTAGATGTTTTTGTTCCTTCTGAAGTTCACAATCATCTCCTTCATCTTCTTCACGTTGACTTGAAGGTTATTCTCTTTGCACCAGCTCTCCAGGTGTTCCACCTCCTGCCTGTAGCTGGACTCATCATTGTTTGTGATGCATCCCACCACCGCTGTATCATCTGCAAACTTTACAATGTGACAGCCTGGATGGGTAGCTGCACAATCATATGTGAGCAGAGTAAACAGGAGGGGGCTCAACACACATCCCTGAGGAGAGCCAGTGCTGAGGGTTATGGTGGAGGAGGAGAAGTTGTGGATCCTCACTAACTGTGGTCTGTTTGTTAAGAAGTCTAGTACCCAATTGCAAATGGAGGGCTTAGTCCTAGTGTGAGTAGTTTGTCCATCAGGGTTTTGGGGATCATGGTGTTGAAGACAGATGTGAAGTCCACAAAGAGCATATGGACATAGTAGGAGTTCTTCTGCTGCAGGTGGGGGAGAGCAGTGTGGACCACAGAGGAGATGGTGTCAGCAGCATTGTATAAGCCGTGGTGTTCAATGCGGGCTTACATTGCTTTTCCCTCTTGAAGTAGATAAATGGAAAGATTTCTATCATCAGCGGGAGTTGCAGCCAAAAGAAAAACTTAAGAGAAGTGTGTGCACGTGCAGAATCAGCCATTGTTCTACCGTGAAGACGGGAGCACCCATGAGAAAAACTGCAAGCAGTTTGAATGGTTAGATGACCATTACTACTTGATCTCAAATTAAAGGGTACCTTGTTCAAGATTTTAACTACACAGTAAAAGAAATAAAATTAAAAAAAAGGTAAAACAAAGAAACAAGACCTGATGGGACTCAAACTAGGGCTGCAACTAACCATTATTTCAATAATCGATTCATCGGCCGATTATTTCCGATTAATCGATAGATCGGCAAATAAAATAATTTAATTCCCACCCCTTTATTCTAAAATTGAACATTTGACTGACACAGCAATTCACACAAAAACAGGTTGCTTTTTGACTATTGTGTTAGTAAAATATTGAATAATAAAAAATAAAAGTTAGTCAAATGACTTAAAATAAATATACACAAAAATATATACAAATGTATCTTTATACCTGCACAACATGTAGTTACTTTGTAAAATGTGTCCTTGAGGGAAGAGTGTAACCTGGATTAAAAGTGTGGATTATTGTAACCTGGATTAAAAGTGTGGATTATTGTAACCTGGATTAAAAGTGTGGATTATTGTAGTGAAGCCTTCGTCTTCAACCATCGACAGAGGCCTCATGTCAGTGACGATCATGTTCAGGATGTTTCAGTGAAGACAGCTGCTGCTGTGGTGTCCATGATGTCTGTCCATCATGAAGGATGTTGTTGTTTGTTGTTGTTTTCTGGAATGAGACAGTAAATATGTTTTATATTATAATTTAGAGCAACTCAAGAAATGCCTTGTTTCACTTACAGTGTTAGGTTCAAGCAAATAAGTAGCCCAAAGAGCAATTAAACACACACACATATATATAAAATACTTAATTACACACATTTGAGTAGATGTAATAAATTACTTTAATTCCTGTTTAAATGCAATTCATCCTGCCATACCTGCAGTGTCTTCAGACTTTGGCAGCAAATTAAAAGTTGAAGCTAATCATTAAATTATTATCTTTGTGTTAGATTTATTTATAAATCCCATTTAAACACTGATTGTACCAATTAAATTAAATCACCGTCATTAATCAGATAAACAAACAAACAAACAGCAGCTTCATCTACCAGAGAGACTGACGTTACGTTTTCTCTCTTGGAAACAGAACAAAGTGTTAAATTGTAGAGACTCATCTGCAACACATGAAGAGTTGTATCAGCTGCAGCTCCTTCCTCCTCCTCGTGACTCCGACATGTATACGTTTATCTCCGTGGTTCTCCCATGTCGTGTCGTCACTTTTCAAAGCTGCATGTTTCTCAATTTTTATCTTTGTGAAGAGCTCCCACACTTTGGAGGACTTGGGTCGAACACTATGTGTCGATCATTTGTAAAATGTATTTAATTTCCTTTGAGAACACCGACTCTGCTCTGCTTCTGCCTCCCCCCTCGCTCTGTTCAGCTCGCGCTGCAGAGTTTTTTTTTTTTTTACTTTATTCAGTCAGTCAGCATTGACAATGAACTGCAGGTGAACAAAACGGCTCTGCAGTGCCGTGAGAAACGAATAATCACGTGACACAACAAATCAATAATGAAATTTGTTACTAACACTTTTACTCACCGATTTTTATCAATTTTATCGATTTGTTGTTGCAGCCCTAGACTCAAATAAAAGCCACTGTAAAAAAAAAAAAAAAAGTGTGCTTTAAAGGGGCAGGTTGTTCCAGGGTCTGGGAGCTGCCACTTTAAAAGCCTGATCCTCTCTGTACTTTCAATTAGCCCTCAGTCTCTGGCTTGGAGGATCTTTTTAGGGTTATCTGAGAGTGGTGGCGCAGAGGTTAGAGAAGATGGGCCTTTGATCAGAAGGTCGCTGGTTCAACTTCCCGGACCGGATCAAAATGCATGTGGAAAAGGTGAAACGCCCACACCTACCTCCACTCCCATTGACCCCACTCTGGGCCCATGAGCAAGGCTCTTAACCCCCACCATCTGCTCCCAAACGGGTCTCTCTTGAAAATGAGTTTTCGTGACTCAGTGAGACTACCTGTATAAATAAATGGTAGCTATATTAAACTATAAAAGTTGTGAAATTCTCTTAAATAACTGGGTCCATTTAAAACTTCAGACGTGAGTAAAATAATCTTCAAAATTAATTTTAAAATTAACAGGAATCCAAAATATTAAACTAGTTGTTGAAAAAACCATATGACAGGATGACGAAGGAGGAGTTGTGGAGTCTGGAGTGGCAGAGAAGTATGTTAGACTGGTACAGGACATGTTAGACTGGTACAGGACATGTTAGACTGGTACAGGACATGTTAGACTGGTACA